TCAAAACTTTATTGTATTGATTTAATTATAATTTATTGAAATCAAGTAAATGAATACATCGAAATAATTTGATTTAAACACAAAATCTATTTATAATAAAGGAAAATAGAGATAAAAATCTTTTGAATGAATAATTGTTTCAGAAATATTAAGGCATTTTAATTTAGCACAAAGCATCATTTCAAGTTCTTCGAGAGAAGGAAGATATGCATTCGTATTGAGAAGAAATTGTTCAATATAATTGCAATGAGCATACGAGAGATTGAGTTTCGAAAGATGAGCGAATTCGATGATTAAAAATCTTTTTTTTTTGTTATCATATGACTCTTGTGTTCGTTTCTCGTTCTATGGTATTGAATTAAATACTGTCAGTTAATTGAGTAACGGAAATGAATGAGAAATTCATTTAAAAAAGTCATATTCAAATGAACGTATGTCATCAAATATAGATGACATGCGTACTTTTCTGAATATACCGCCTGGAAAATTGTTTGTTACAGCATGCATATATTTCATGGTGAATGGAAGTGAAAAGAGATGACATCGGCCTTCTCGATTTGGAAAATAGTCAATATAACCATCAACATGTTGGACAAATATACGTCGAACGTCATCATTAGACTTCAGAATTTCATTGCTGTCTACAATATGTGTAACAATGTCAAAGATAAATGTACGAAGATAGGACATTTGACTGAGAATTTCATTGTTTAGATGAGTACCTTCGACGTATGTTCTTCGATTGCCAATCTTGAGAGATAATGTAAGCTTTTTTAATTGTGACATTTGACGAAGTAATGGTACGATTTGATCATCATATGTTGTTGTTGTAGCACGTGACATTAACGAAAAACATTTGAGATTCTATGCAAACCCTTTAATAAAGAACGTCAATATGCAAAATTAAATATAATTACTTTCATTACCCTAAGTCGAATGGTATGTGATGAAATACATGAAAACCAATCAACAGTGACAACAAAAGTATTCATTTGATAGAGACGACCATCAAGTAAACGAAGACAATCATCAAAATAAAGAACTTTGACACATAAATGAACTATTTTTGACGAGAAACAAATATTCGATGGTAAAGCCTGGAGGAACAATGTTGGATGTCGAGAAGTATAGTAAATACCAAACTCCAAATGAGTTACACTTGTAAAAAAAGTAAAAATACGTCCATATACATATGTAGCTAAATCTTCCAACGGTGTAGTCTTAGCATCATCAGTGACAGTCACAACCAGATGAGAAATTTGTTTCTTAAACATATGAGCAAATGTTAAAACATCTAAATATCGATCAAATAAAATTATACAGAAAAATAAAACATAAACTATATACCATTGAAATAGTATAATGCGTCTTTTAGTTCAAGCTTAGCAAGATTGAGTTTGTGTAGATTGTGATAGTCACTAGCACGAAAAATGCATTCTATAGATGATGGTTCGAGTGTGAGACATTTTACATTGTGATGAATTCGAGGCAGGATCTCCAGACAGAATTGGTTCAATTTTAGATCAGACAATGAATCAGTTTCACTATTTGATGATGTCATTACTAAATCGATCGATTCAGTATAGATAGTATCACATACTATGTTATCGAGTCTTTGATTGGCACTAAAAAGTAAATAAAAGGCATCGTCACTTTTTAATTTTGCAAAAATAATCAGCAAAATCTCATCGGGTAGATCAAAAATATCAACAACTGAATGATTCATGTTTGCTTCTAATCGTCGTTTGCTGTCCATAGCTATATATTTATTCCATACATATGACCACTGCCGTCGATAAAGACAATGTTGAATAATTCTATTGTGAGCATAGTTAAGTTCAATCATGGATAAATAATGTCGTAAATATAAAGAATGGCTCACAAGTCCTGACTCGATCTGTATAATAAATTTTTCATTACTAAAACGTATGTTTGAAAACTTTGTTTCTAGTGAAGAAAAGATGCAGCAAAAGACGCTCGACAAAATGATTATTGACTGACTCCGCTGACTCATCTAATAAGAAAGTTATAGGCTTAGAAATGTGCTTGACAAAAAAGAAAAATTAACTGTGAATTCGGTTGACATGATGATGATGATTCCAGCAAAAGTTCCATAACTTCATCAAAACGAAAAGTTTTTCGGTCGGACCTATTTTGTTTTGATCAGAAATGATTGTTCTTCTCTACCTAGCTGCAAGATCAAAACTTCGATCACATTTTTTGTTCTTTGCTGAGTACACTGTTGTAAATGAGGTTTTCGATTTTTGACGTATTTTTGAAACTTAGTTCTCGAGTATTCCATCTGCGCTAAGAAGGGTGTGGATGTGGTTGCTAGTGTCAATCCTATCTTCATCCACACCCACATATACACCTGTCCACACTCAGTGTACAAGATGGATACTTGTTTCGAATTAGAAATGAACAAGATTTGAATGATTGAATTGATTGAAAAAGAAGATCCACTGAAATTGGCCTAGTTGTTGAACATCCAAAAAGTAGCGAATGGTCTTGATATTTCGTCCTTTAAGACGATGTATTTGAACAATTGATCGATTCAAGAGTACATATGATTTATCTAAGTAATGGTACCGATATTCAGCATAATATGAGTCATTTTTTATTTTCTTCTTCTTCTACGTGTTGTAGGCTAAATCGATGAAACTTTATCTATGATTCAACTTGTATTGATCTCTGATTATCTACGTGTTCGGTTTTGAAGTCACTAATCTGCTCTCCATATGTTTCAAAAAAAAAAGTGATGCGTATGTTTGATCTGTATATTTTTTATGTTCCAATAGAGAAGATTGATTGAGATTTTTGAAATCGATCGAAGTTAATAGGGGATTGTTAATTGGGTAGTTTGCCAGGCAAAAAAAACCCTGAGAAGAGAAAAATGAAGTTCAACCAGAAAGTCTTTGCTCGTTAGATGAACGAGTCGAATCAATATACTGATCGTTTTTGAAAATCTTTTTTTCCTATTTTCGAGTCCTAATGGATTCTAAGAACTCAATCATTGTCAAATCAGATTCATCTTGGTCTAATTTCACAGTCAAATTATAGACGGTGAATACTTAACAACCGTATTCAGTATTATATCCATGGTTTTTGAAAAATTACTCGGATCTGTGTGAAATTATTTTCGATTGCAGCTAAAACCAAAATGTTTTCATTTACAACATTGACAATCAATAAAAAGAAATGGGATGTAGGTGAGTACTATCTATCTCACTGTACTATACGACAAATGACGTAATCAACCAATTATAAAATTACAAGAGCATAATCCAGCCTTGATAGTTGACTAATGACATTTTTATCAATAATTTTTTGAACGAATATTTTTGAATAATTTTTGGCTTGCAACTTTCGAATTTTTTTCTTCTACACAGAAGTGGAATTTTTAGTTCTACTTGATAATGAGTATTTCATTATTGACCATCTCAAACATTTCAGAAATCCATCGGAATGAATTGGATAGGAATATAACAAAATGTATCCAATTTGTTTTCAACAGTTGCTTTCAGCTATTTACATTTCATTTACGTTTGTTACATTAAAACAAGCGTTTGAGTATGATAAATGTTATTCAAACGTGCACTCTGCTATCAATAAGTTACACAGAAACAATAAGTAGTGTTTATGACTTTTACAGAAATTTGAATCTGTAACAACATCTTTTACAGAGTAGAAACTTTTAAAATTTTTAGTCTTCAACAAGATTTATGAATAAATGTTAAACGCAGTAAGAAAATGTTAATTTCAACCCCTTCAAATACTATATTCGGATCGAAACAACCTAATAATGCACTCGTTGAAACTTTTGAAAAAATGCTGATGATTGCCAAATAGTTCTATTTTCTTTTTTTTTGTTGGTCTTATGAACGTTCAGAATGATAGTTTGTTCTTATATTACCTTGAACTTTGCTTTGAAAAATTAAGCCTTATAAACTCGAGAAACATTGGTTCCTTGGCTTTTGAGCAACGGAAAACTTTGTTTTTTAAGAGACTTGGACAATGTTGTAAATTAATCTTTTTTTTTGTCGTCAATTATTACAGCTGGCATTGGTATATATTATTTTTATTCTAATTGTAACGAATTAGAGATTTAGATTTTACCTTTTGAGAATTTTAGCTTTTGGATTTACAAAGTGAGATTGTAGTAGTAACTGAAAGTTTGATGTTACTATTCCCAAAAGGCTTCTATTTAGATATTTATTCGTTCAATGCGACAATAAAAGAACTAAAAAATATTGTCAAAGCTCTTTTTTTCAATCTATTTTCTCGGTGAACACAGTTCAGAAGTAATACGGTGTGTCCAAATGAATCTTCCGAAAAAAATAGTAGCAGTAAGTTTTATCTTGAGTCATGTATAACATTTGAAAGTTAAAGAAAATGATGGTGTAAACTTTGAATCATTTACTGAAAAACATGGTCTCTTTATACAAACTTTCCAAGATCATCATTGGTTATGATGCTCATTGCTAAAGATCTCGCTTAGATCAAACAGTTAGGTGTGTAACAAATGATGAATACAGACTTCTCAAAACACAAATATTGTAACATTTTGATTGCCCTATTATTGCAGAAAAAAACAATATTCGATTACACAACCAGTTTGACATGCGTCCAGTAGACTGTTGTCTTAGATTTCTCATTTTTGTCCATGTCAGAGAAGTAAAGAAGCATGAAGGAAGTAGTGAATGTAGCAGAAAAAAGCTTTTATTCGAAATAAAATTATTAAGAGTAGCGCTTTGAACAATGTTTTAGAGTTGAAAAAGTAGCGTCTTCAATAGCCGATGACACACGATCCGTGTCAGTACATTGTCACTGTGAAACATGTTTTGCAAAACATTATCTCAACTATTTCGTTTTTTCATGTAAAAGCCATTGTGTTTCATATAACAAAGTCACTTTTTACAAGCAGTAATTCAAACCTCAGGAGAAGAATGAGATAAAACAACTTATTTCTAATGGATTTTGATCGATCTAATTTTTTATAAACATCCAAATAGATTTCAATTTAATGTGATTGTTTTCAATGGGTATCCGAAGGCTAAAATGTTGAATTTTAATTGACTTCAAATTTTGCGGTAACATGCTTGATGTCTATTGTAATTAGGGGATTTTGCCAATTTGTTTTCACAGGAAAAGTTGTACAAAATGTTTCCGACATTTTGTCATTGAAAAAATTCTCCTCTAAGTAAATGTGGTTTGTGAAAATGTTCTTGAGACATGATGCCTTATGTTCAATTGTTGTTTATTTAAATCTAATGTTACTAGAATGTAGATAATGGTATAGTATAAACGGATTTAACATTATCACTGAACATTGTGAATATTTTGCTGAAAGCATATTTTGATCATTAGAATATATCAATGAGAAAAAGTTGGAGCCGTTTTCTTAGAGGTCATTCTACACATTTTCATCTACTTTCAGAAGGTCAAAATTACTTTTCAACCTCAGTTTGTTCCCAGTGTCGTTATCCCTTTCAAGAATATTGGAAACATAAGGCACATCCATTATTCAATTCAACTTTCTTATTTACCATCTTTTTATCCTTTTGTTTATTATCGTTCACTTACTGTTAAAGAGTATTTCAGAAGAATTTACATTTCTTCGTATCAAGTACTAGCGAAAATAATTTTAGAAATATTTTCCGCTTTGCTTCAGGTTGAAAAAAAGAAATGATGAGATAGATTACCTAGAAGTTGTTATCTTGCTTACATTCTTTATTTTAAGTACAATCCCATGTAAAAAAAAATAATCAAAAAATCGATTTTAATCATACACCTTTAATCAATAGTTTAAGCAGTAATAATCAAAACAAAATCAGATGATAATCGATTATTTCAAATATGATGATTATAATCGATTTGATAAAATTCAGAAAATGGATTATAATCAACATATTTGAAAGAATCGATTATCATCTGATTTTGTTTTGATTATTACTGCTTAAACTATTGATTAAAGGTGTATGATTAAAATCGATTTTTAATCGATTTTTTGATTATTAAAATTGATTTTTTTACATATTTTTTTTACATGGGATGTCGACATGAACAAGCTCATCGTGAATGTATGACACAATCGAGTTTTCACCATGTTCTTTCTTATCGGAATCTATTTGACAATATGAATGAGTAGAGAAGCTAGAGATAAGCTCAACTCTAGTGTAAAGTTTAAGACTGTGCTTCATCCAATAGAGTGTGAGCGTGCTCTTTCCTAACAGCAACAGCCGCACTCTCCAGTACCTACACTCCCAAAATAGCA